AGCAGTTGTTCTGGTCCAACGATTTTACATAAAATGTCCATGTCTATACGCTAACTTTCAAAGTATGACAAAGCAGTAATTCCCGGTAATTCCCGCGCAAATATGCAAATTAGCCTTTTTCTCGTCTTCTATTTTTGGTGAATTCTTGGGTTTTAAATTAAAATAGCTGATAGACGCTTTGGCCATTTGCCTCGAAATTTTCACACATTATTGACAAGGTGTTCCGTTCCCCCTTCAAAATGCGTCCGGACAGTTTATTACTGCGAGTGGAGCAAAAATAACAAGTCCGCAATTAACATGGATATATAAATTATGCAAAAATAGAAAAGAGTGAACTTTGAGGTCATGCTGTGTAATTTTACCCACAAACGGACTTGAAGTTTTTGAGCTAATTTTTTTTAAACCACTTTTGTCCAAAAAAGCATATTTTTGACCCAAAATCAAAAACGCATTCTGGATATTTAAAATAAAGACAAGTTTTACAAAGTTTGTATAATAAGCTTTCAGAAAATATATAACATGCTGGATATATAATACCATCTTCATTGTCTAATTACTCAATTAAAAAGCAAGCCAAATAAACTGCATCACTACCTTAATGCTTCTGAGCACTTCTATCTAAGACACGTTTTGAACACAGCAAACACTGTGCTGAATTTTTCATCACTGAAATTTAGAGCTATGGAACATACCTCCTGTGTCCCATTACAATCATTCTTATTTTCTCGCCATGGTCTTTTAGTTCATGGATCTGAACAAATGTACCAACTGGGTAAAGATCATTCACATCCTCCATAATGTCTAATTCATTACTGCAAGAAAACACATGGGTTTTGTGTACACGTGTAGAGTTTCACGCTGGACTTCTTTGATCATTTATTAATTTTGTTTATTTGAGCTTTAGCAATATACATATGATATTACAATCAGGAATGGAAAGGGACATCAGGTTGTACAGAGAAATGAATTACTACAATCAAGACAAAATCAAACATAATTGCTGAGCATTTGATTGTAGTCTATGTTTATAAGTACCAGAGACATTTCTCGGAAAACTGAGAGGGAGCTAGATGATTCTATGAATTAAACAATTGTTGAGAGTTAAGAACAACAAAAAACTGTTCACAATGCTTTAATAGTATTTGCTTAAAACCTAAATTTCCAAGCTAAAGGCCCATTAAAAGTACCCTCAGCCCATCCGCAATTTTCAAATGGAGAACCCCCTAACTGGGGAGTAGAATTGAGAAAAGCAATAAGGCCTCTACACTACATTCAACCATGGATGTACTTCTTAGTACATCCATGATTCAACAGAACAGTTTTATGGGAAGAATGTGGAATAAACATCATTGAACAGTGACATATACTGCAAACAAACTAACAATTACCTGTCATCTTTCTTGAGAAAAACACCAATATACGGCTGGTTAAGTTGCATTTTTCTTTTGATCAAATCAGCAAGAGATTTGTCATTGACCTATTAAAAAAATAAATACATCATTTCTGTCATGCCACTCTACTTGTACCTAGCTACGCAGCTTATTAATATCTCATCTGGGTCAACGTTTTGACCTTAGATATGACTTTTTGTATGATAACACCTTTATAATGTAAACATTGTAATTTAGAGATCAGAGATCTGGTGATTACGTGAAATTCCTCTGGCCAATAGAGTTTTCATTTCTGAAGACGCGATGTTTGCATAAATCTGCATGATTAATGATGATGTAAACAATTTACTACAGCATGACTTGCAAGAAAATAATTCCTATTGTTTAGAAGCATATTTATAGTATACCTGGGCCTTTAATAGCCTAGTAGGTAAGGTACTGCATTAAAAAAAAAATATTTTATATAGAGTATACATGTATAACCACCAGCAACTCCTATCCAGATATGTTAATGTTAAAAACAGAAAGGGAAAAAAAAAACAGAATGTTCTTCTAAGTTCTATTATGAACCATGTAGGATTTCAGTGAAGTTGATTGTGAAATCAAATTTACACATTGGCAATGTTTGGATTACAGCAAAATCTAATCTGTTGGTTTAATTTTTTACAAAATAATTTTCAGTCGCAGCTCACAAGAGTTTTGTGATTTCACTAGGTTTTTAAGAGACATGTTTTTTTACTATAATCTCATGAGTAGTAAACCAACGATATTCACAATTATACCGGTATAGCGAAAGCAATAGTAACAAAACTACAGCTTATGATTTTTACAGATTGGGCTTACCTCGATCATTTTAATAAATTTGGGAAATAAAGGATTTCGATTGACAGCAATAACTGGAACAGGGGAGAATGATTCGGGCACTGTCATTGTAGCTAATGATGAACCTATCGGTGGTGAAATTGGACGATACGGAGGTGCTTCGTCACCACTATCGCCGCCTTCATCGCCCCCATCTGCATCACTTGGACCGTCTCCCTGTGATGATGAACTATGTTCATTGCTACCGCCTCCGCCGTTGCGAAAACTTTCTCCTCCGTCGCCACCACCACCACTTCCCCATCCACTCCAAAAATTACGGTTCGGAGACGCACAGCTAAGTGTTCGGTGTAGTTGATTCAGAAGTGTCTTTGTGTTAGATGTTCCAAGGTATGAACAATTGTATGCGGATCTATGAATGTTTAGGAAGAGAGAGTTCTGGAAAGATCGACCGCGATTCGTCCCCCAAGACTCACTGGAGTGCACATATCTTCTGAACACAGCAATCCTTGTTTGTGAATTTCGGCAGATATCTAAGTGTCTAGCATGCCCGTTTGACTGCCTCGTCAAAACAGATGAGAAATAACAACGATTCGAGGAAAACGCTGGTTGTTTGAGCAGCCCAGTCCGGCGAAATTTCATCATGTAGGTCGCCATTTTGTCTATGACGCATTCTGGGAGATCAACTTTGACCTCGGCGGGCACAAATACAGGTCAAGTCCGCTTAATAAGGTATGTGCGTATAAAACACAATAGTATTATACAGTATATTTTAAATCCTGATAATTAGATCAGTCGCATTTATTATATATTTTCTCTCTTTTTTTCAGATTTATCATTGCTACAGTACACTGAAACCCGGATCTCGACGATTTACCTGGACATTACTACTAATAATACCGGTATAACTCATAATAATAACTTTATTACACAACTTAACCATCTGTGGGTTTAGTAAGGTAAAAAAAAATATTACAAAAGACAAATAAAATAAGACACAGTAAAACACTAAAATTAAAATACACTGAAATTCAGCATAGAAAGAAATACAAATTAGAAAATCTCTGAAAAATTGATTAAACAGCAGCAAGGTTCTCCCAGACCACAGTTACATATTTATCTTTTAGAAAATTGTATTTTTTAAATAATATGACAAAGCCATATTATTTCCCATTATTTTCACAAAGCTTTCCATTCTGGACAAGTCATTAATTTTTATTTTAAAATACTTCAAGACATGTTTTCTCTCTACTTCATAGAAATTGTAATCTAAGATGAAATGCATTTC